GAGCCGACTCATGTTGTCTACACGAAATTGCCATAACTCGCTTCCATATAAGCACAGCCCGAACGGTGGCATTGCAAACCCGACCCTTTACCAAGAGGTAGGCATCCCGTCGAGGCCACAAATGTTTCAGGTTGACAAATGCCGACCTAGCCTTGGCGATGCGGAGACAAACTTCCTTTCCAATGGTACCACCAGCAGAGACGCAACTGCCCAGGTAGACAAATCTATCAATGTGTTCAAGCTGTGTATCTTCAAGTGTGAGCACGGGAACGGGCGAGTGCCAACTCTAGAACTGTTTTCATACCAAAAATTACATTTATATTTAATCATGCCGTTGATGGTGTACTTCGTTCTATCGTGAATAAACAATTTAGGTCTTAATTATTAGAACCCTACTCGTTGCAACATCAAACGAACTAAGAAGACTTCTCGACAAGTGATGAGTGGGTGAATGCATCACGTACTCTATACAGCGCAGCCTATTCTACCCTATTTGTTTGACATTGCAATCCGATGCGCACTGTATCACAGCATCTCTGACGGAGTCAGAGTCTGTGGTAGGCTTTCATCGTCCTTCGCTGTCAATAGTGGTGTACGACAGGGCTGCCCTATGTCCCTGTTCCTCTTCAATTTTGCGATTGAAGACGTCCTGTCGAGAGCTCTAGATGGTTAACAAAATTCTGGTATACAGCTACTACCGGGCAAGCGCGCGACCGACTTACAATATGCCGATGATATCGCTTTACTTGATGACGACTCACAGAACATGCAAACCATTCTAGACCGTTTGGCAGTTTAGGTACGGAATTTGTTTTGCCCCGTCAAAGTGTAAAGTGTTGCTTCATGATGGGCACTTGCCCGTTCACCTGCTCACTCTTGAAGGCACACAGCTTGAACACGTTTATAGATATGTCTATCTGGGTATCTGTATGTCTGCTGGTAATACCATTGAAAAGAACGTTCCTCTTCACATCGTGGAAGCTCGGTCGGCGTTTTTCACCATGAAACACTATTGACCTCGTCGGAATGTCTCATTCTTGGTAAAGGGCCGGGTTTACTATGCCACTGTTCGGGCTCTGTTGCTGTATGGAAGGCAGCCATAGCCAATTCGCATAAACATGAGCCAAATCTCGACCTTCGACAATGGGTGCTTGAGGAAGATTGCTCGTGTGTGGTGGCAACAACGTATCTGCAACGGTGAAGTCCGACGTCCTCTAAGGGAATGCAAGTATTCCCTTCAACAAGCTGATTTTGCCGCACCGGTTAAGATGGCTCGGTCACGTTTTGCTCATGTCAGCTGAGCGTTTGCCCCACTGCACCCTTTCCGTTCGTGCAGGACTTGGCGGCAACAGACCACGTTGCGGTCAGCCGTCCACTTGGCGACAGCATATGAAATTGTTGACTAAACGTCTTGCAACTGTTGCATCCACACGTGTTCCTGGTTGGGGATCAAAGGACGAAGAGTGCCGGTGACTGGCGCGCAACCGAAACTAGTTCTACTGGTGTACATAATTGTTTACATTTAGATGCTTAATACTTAACGATTGAAAGACAAAACTGGAGTGTGCAAAATAACGAAGAACTGCTGAAACGTGTTGCTCACGTTCAGCTAATGTTCCATGATGATGATGATGATGATGAATTGATTAAACCTGTCTAGGGATTGTCATGGACTTGTTTGGCTTTATTTATTCATGAAACACTGAGTCCCCTTCAGCCACTTCATTAACGCAGTAAGAAGACAGAGGTTGCGATAGGTTAACATTTCGATTGCTCTCGTCAGTCGCAACGCAATACAGGCAGAAAAACACGCAATATATAGGGTCCACACTTAGTAACATAGATAAGCGGATAAAAATGATGGGGATGACGTAATCAGGACCAAGGCAATCTAATTGATTTTTATTTATTCAATAGCCTTCTGCTTATACTACTACTCAGTCATCAGCAGTACGCCGGGTACACTGTGCCGACGCTACGCTGCCGCGCGACCACCACCGGTCACGCGTGGGCTGAGTATACCGCAAGGACGTTCGCCCCTAAGCGGATTCGAACCGGTGACCTAAGAATTGCAAGCCAGGCGTGCAATCCTTTCGGCCTTATTTGTCTGCCTAAGGAACTAAAATAATTCTTACCGCCTAGTACTCACTATCATATCTCACCATTACGGACAAAATGGTCCATTACGTAATAGCAATGCTCCTTGAACAGCTACGACCAGAGTTGTGGAGACGCACGGGTTCTTCAAGGCAAACTAATCAAGCCTCAATGCTGTAGTGCAGGCCGACCGCCACCTACTCTCGGTGGTTGTGTCACAGTGAATCGTCGGTGCAATGTACCGACTTATTGCTGATGCGCGAAGGGGATGCGAATTTGATAGGACAGTTACCCGAATTTTTATGTCATCTCTTCCCTCCCAAACTCTTATGTGCACAACTTTTGAGAGAAGTAGGAATATGTTTATGTTACCAATGAGGTCGCAGCTCCATAAAGGCAGTTTCAACTCCTGCAACAGTTGAGATAACCTAACACTTGCACGTACATCGCTGTTATCACGGGTAAATCGTCAATTATCTTCTGTTCCTTGTTGTCAGCGATTAAACGGTTTGGAAGTGGATGATTATTCTGCAGCAGGGATTCGAAAGTGCAAACCACCTGCCGACTAATGGGGCCGCTCCAGTAAAGCTGCCATGGCTTGACAGGGCAGCGGCGATACTGTCACATAAGTGGCAAATCGTCTACGAGACATTGATCAACCAGTTTCCCTCTGCTCAGAAAACCGACACTTGCTTCGGGAAGCACAGTATTGTTTAATTCCATAACGGAGCACACGATAAAGTGTAATAAGCCGTGTAAAGGAAATAACCCAGACGAGTTCCATTTGAGACCGAAATCGCATCCGATGCGGCCTAAGGTATTCGAGGGAGGGGAAGTCAAATGCTCAACAATTATACTAAGGCTTTTCTCCGAGCGATTTTGTTGAACAGAACCAAGTGATTGAACGAGTCAGATATGTTCCCTACGCCGAGTTTCAAACCTATCTCCGGTCTGCATTGCTTAGGACTCCGTTCTAGCATTTATGGAATAGTGAAGGCTCCATCCTCGTTGTGGATCTGCCTTCTTTCACCGCATACGGGATTCCTGTTCTGCAGCTAAGTGACGTACGAAAATAGGGGCCAATAGTTTTGCCGCCATGGAAATTGCAATTTGCTGTTTCGGTTTTCTCCCATACACTGCGACTATCCTCTTTCAGTGTCGACACTATGGTTTGTTCGCACCAGTTGATTATGACGTTGTCCTAATCCTGCGCTTGCGCAGGAAGGTGATTCAATTTTTGCGGGGAGTCTCATTATCCTACTGAAAAGGTGCGGATGCAATAGCATCTTTTCAGGTCAAATTAAGTCAAGAAATTGCTTTTAGCACCCTTGGCGGTGAATATTCAGCTACAAAACACTCGATCTCAGCAATGTACACAAATGAAAATCAATTACGAAACGTTATAATGAAGAGCAGTTTGAGAAAGAATAAACTGGAATGCCACCATACTGCGAATCGGCTGGTTAGGTCTAGAGCGACAGAGTTAGGGTCTCGCAGAAAACGAGAAATATATGGGCTGACCGACAAGCGGTGGGCTTGTGTACGAGCAAATCAACTTGTACTTCTGCCTGGTAGACGAAGTTAGCAGATGAAGCCTTATTGCTCAGTGCTGATGTGCTTGAGGTATGTGGCCGCGTTGCCAACTGCAGCTTCAGATTGATCCTGTAATTCAACCGTGCGTTTCACCCTGATCCACCTTAGCACAGGCAACGGAGGCCTGGGATGTCGAATCAGCTGTTCGTGAAAGTGTTCCTTGCACCGCGCTAGTTGTTCATTATGGATTGTAACCCTTAGGCCATCGGTACGAGCGATCTCAGTAACCTAGCCAGCGGGCGACTCTCGGTGGTTGTGTGATAGCGAATAGTCGGTATGATTTGCCGACGTATTGCTGTAGCCTTTTTCTTTGGGGGGAAAATGACGCGAATATAATGGGACATTTAGCCGAATCTCCACAACATTTATTCTTTCCCCAACTTCTAGGCGTATGGTATTTACTACGTTTGCCTATCAACCCTCATTTTTCGTTCTAGCTGCCAATTAGTCGCGTTTTTTTCATTCTGTTGAGCACACACTTAGATTCTGTTTCCTGAATGTTTGCCTACTGTGAATATCCTAGCTACACCCCATTTCTCGAGCGGTGTCAACTGCATGACATCGTCACGTGTTGAAACATCAGCTTGTCGGCAGCGAAGTCGCACTTTGTGGATGATTTGGTTATACCACCGTAATAAAAATTAAAGTCTTGGAAAGTTGAATCATTTGGAATAGTGCTCTTAGGGTGTTCTCAAGCTTTTTACCTATTTCTGAGTAGCGTGAGATTCGGGCAATTACTTATTGTCGTAGCAGCTGCTGATTAGGTATCTGTCTTCTGGGTTGAGTACTGTTATTTCGTTTGCCCCCTACTACTAGGTCCGCATGACTAAACCCATACCTTGTTTGAGATATCATGGGATTTGGCTTGCAACTACCACCAGTGATGAGTTTGACACCATTTTCTACCCGGAGCACCTTTCTGTAGAGTGCGTAGTTCTGAGTTCATCGCGCTGATAGTGTTTGTTATGATTGGACATCGCGAGGGGAAGGAGAGCTGTCTAACCGATTTCGCCTCATTTTTTATAATGACTATCTGTATGTGACTGTGTGGAGGAGCTTCGGTTCTGAATGTTTGTTTGATGATCTTCTTCCTGCTTTTTATCCTTTCTTGCTCATTATCATATGGTCCCGAAACCTAAGCATGGAGTACGGATGTGCGGCCGTTGATAGCGATATTGATGCGGAGGCTGACTTGTAACACTGTTACTGAATTTTTACCGTTCTTAGCAACATCAATTACTTAGATACTTTTAACCTGCTTGTGGTGAATCTGTTACATTCTCGTGAACAACGTATCCTCATTAGTCAACTCTCTCTGTTCCATTTTTTTCTCTTGGCAAGCAATCGATCGTTCCTATCGCGGGCAAATGGATGATAGGATCATCGTTGTCGCGATCTTCGCTTAGCACATTTCCCTTGTTCACAGGGCAGTGTAATGAATTACAACTTCATCTTCGTGAACATCGTGGTCATTGATTGGAAGGACTGTACTTTCGGGAACAGAGCCCTATAGTTTTGGTGGGAAACGCTTTTTGAATTTGGACATTAGCTATATGTAGTTCACCGATGAAACAGGGGAAAGCAATGCAAATTTATAAAGACATCGGTTGCTGAGCAATGACTTGTCGTTCCGCACGGCTAGCACGACTCGCGTGGAGTTGTAACGCTTGGGGATTCCGGTGAGGTCTGTCCTTGCCAGTCCGGCTCTGCGTTGGCGTCATTTGTGTCGATGCTGAATTTCACACTTCCGTTTCCGTTCATCATCTGAAAGTACATAAAATTTCTGCTCAGTCTGTCTTTGTATGTCAATTGTTGTTTTGAACCCAACAAGCATATAATTGAATCTGGCCAGTTGTGCTCTATTGAATGCTTAGTTAATTGCCTTGTTTTTATTTTGTTTTTGCATCACCTCACCTGTCTGTGCGCATCACTGAATTGCCCAGAGTAGACTGGCGCTCTGTTACGGTTACTAGCAGCACTAGGTATGGTTTTCCATTAGCCACCATTTTGTGTTGCTCGCTAGTGCTCGTTCTCAGTTGGTACGTTGGTACGCTACCTGAGTGAGTTGGTTACACGCAAACCGATACCTCTTGATCATGCCTGATTGGGTATGCCTCGAAGAATTCGAGAATAAACTATTCAGTTATTTATGTATCTTGCAACTTGAAATCTTTGGCCTACCTCATTCGCGTTCCTGCGATGTATGTAGATTCCTGTGCCGGAACTCAAACGTTGGCCGACCTAAAGCTCGGTCTCGTATGCGGACATCCAGTCTTTTAATAACGTTCGTTGTCAATTTATCATTCACTGATATTTCATTGATAACACTCGTGTGGGAGTGCAGAGGACTGCCTCACTCGATCTCTTGGCCCAGACGCAAAACGAAGTCCAACACATAACGAAGCCCAGCGAGCCACATCTGAGCAGCTTTGGAGTTGCAGTAAAACGGTTTAAACCGGTTCTTTGTGTTCTGCGTGCACCAAACATTATCACGTCGGATGCTCGTTTACATGCAAGGGAAGTAAAAATGCTGAACAACCAAACAAGCTGCTTTTGGTGCTGCAATGATTGTATGGCTATTCCATGTCTTAGATGAATATCTAATTAAACACAGAAATACGATAAGCTAGTGACGTTGGTCAAAGAATTTGGACTTAGTACATGTTCTCCATCGGATACAAACGCAGCCTGGCTTGCAGCGCATGGTCCCACAACTGAAAACAGTTGAAAGACTAAGACCACGGACAACCCCTATCTGAAATCAGGTAAGCAACCAAGCTCCACCTACCACAGCGACTCCCGTCCTGACCCAAGCGATATTGCATGAGAACAACTCTGTGCAGTAACTTGCACCGGCACACGCAGACACACCAGCTACCGCCAAAAGCGTGGTTATGCGTCTGTTGCCATCGCCCAAGAACCGACAGCAGATTCTATAGCTACAACTGACGCGATCATACAGGGTGCCAGAATTACCACACATGCTTCCGTCACTCCAATAAGAACTGGTGACGAAATGTCTACAATCCAATTGCCCAGATAGGCGAGCAACTCAACTACTGGACAAAAACCCGCGCTACTAGTATTCCGAATTATTTCGGGTGTTGAGGCGGTTCTTTTGTCAGCCACCCGCCTTCCGACTGACTCATACGTCATTCGGAGTTTCCCCGATGCCCCTTGGAACGAGCTTCAACAAAAAAAAACAGAATCTGATGACCACTACCATCTAAACAACGAAAGCTGGTCTTTATACATGGTGTATCGGAGCTTCAAGCCTCTGATGAACGTGAAGCTCAAGCTCATGATGGGGAGGAATAACGCTACCTTCGTCAGACGCTCTCACTCGACAAGGTGATTACCAAGTCGATCATGAGACTACACCCATCATCAAAGTATAAAAGATGATGAAAGTTTTGTTCCATTCCGAACACATGGGGGAAACCGCACATGAAACGTGGCGCAAGTGACGTAAGAAGTGGTGGACGGCGTGTTCTGGACCGGCGTCACCAATTGTTGGGTGGAGCCTGGGATAATAGTCGGTAATCAATGACATGTAAACGACGTGTCAAATATGGGACCGGATAGAAGTTGGAGGCAACTGAACCCAACGTACATTGTGCAGGCTACAAAAATAAGGAGCGAATCAACCAGATCAAGAAACGGTGCAGCAAACTACTCACCAAAACGATTTATGTCAACGGATGTGCCGTCATTAAAACAAGTGGACGTTTTGAAGGTTAAAACAACCGTAAAATCCAACGTTGCAAAATACTGAGTGTTTTCCGGTACACCACAAGTGATCTTCGTATCAGTATTATCAGGTCCACAGACATCAAGGCTTGACGAGATTGATGTTTGGATAATTTATTGATGAGGCTCTGGACTATGGTATACATGAAGGAGAGTGCTTTACATATCTTAAGCGTATCTGTGGGTGCGAGTGTCAACTGTGAGCCTTTGCCGACCATTGTGAGGTCGGCAGCTAGTGGTTTTTTGGTAACTGTTGAAATTGAACTTTGAGCCGCTTCCAGCTTCAGTACTTGATTGTGCCCTGCACTGATACGTTTCGGAAGTGGTAATTACTGGAATCCCTCTTATACCACGCTGATTGTACTTTTTCGGTCATTCGGAGTTTTGAGTTAAACGCTTTTATGCGTAGCCCTAAAGGCAATTTGTTACGTCACTTGCGCCACGTTTCATGTGCGGTTTCTCCCATGTGTTCGGAATGGAACAAAACTTTCATCATCCTTTATACTTTGATGATGGGTGTAGTCTCATGATCGACTTGGTAATCACGTTGTCGAGTGAGAGCGTCTGACGAAGGTAGAGTTATTCCTCCCCATCATGAGCTTGAGCTTCACGTTCATCAGAGGCTTGAAGCTCCGATACACCATGTATAAAGACCAGCTTTCGTTGTTTAGATGGTAGTGGTCATCAGATTCTGTTTTTTTTTGTTGAAGCTCGTTCCAAGGGGCATCGGGGAAACTCCGAATGACGTATGAGTCAGTCGGAAGGCGGGTGGCTGACAAAAGAACCGCCTCAACACCCGAAATAATTCGGAATACTAGTAGCGCGGGTTTTTTGTCCAGTAGTTGAGTTGCTCGCCTATCTGGGCAATTGGATTGTAGACATTTCGTCACCAGTTCTTATTGGAGTGACGGAAGCATGTGTGGTAATTCTGGCACCCTGTATGATCGCGTCAGTTGTAGCTATAGAATCTGCTGTCTACCTAACCTAGCGAAAACATTGTGTCTGACTGCTCCGTGAGGATAAATTGAAGCACCAACAGGATTTAACGAAGTAGTTCTGCTCCAGTCTTAAGCTAGTTTATAGGCATGTTAACAAACTTCACAAAGGGCAACGAGGCATTCCTTCTGTTTACACCGCATGTGGGCAAGTACAAACTGCCTAGGAAGCAACTAACGCTCCTGGACTTCGGTTCGCTTGTACTTTCTACATCGCACCGTGACCTCTTGCCATTCCCACACAAATCACCTCATCGCCAGGAATTAGCCACAGCTCCATCACTGTCGCGTATATGCTGAGGCGTGTACTGTCGCTACGCGAGTACGGTTCATCTAGTCTCGATAACTTACGCTGTACGTTACTGAAGGTAGCTGCCACAAGCTTAACTGAACCGTCATCTTGGTTTTTCTAGCCCTGTCTCGACGAAATGCAGATCCCGGTGGAACACTGGAAAAGTGGTTTCATATGGGCAAAAATGCTACCGCTTAACAGGTCTCATAGGATGATAATGGTGAACATTCAAAATATAGAAAAAGTGTCAACAGAGTAGGTTCACACCAATGGACTCACCGCGGTATAGTGTTATAAGCGCTAAATCCATGGGGTATGACGACAAATGGGATCCTGGTAGAAGTCGCGTCACCTCCTGATGAACACATACAGGAGGTAAAAAAGTGAGACGATTTCTGGGAGTTGGTCGTCAGTGCAATCACTTATAGGCACTTGTGTTTAGCCATGGGCAATAAGTCATTTGATGTGGTGCAGCGAAATTGGTGCACGATCAACTCTGGATTTGAACTCTACCAGCGCGGGAGCACAGATGACAGATTCCGATAAGGCATTCCACGCTTGACAAACGCGTACGGAAAATAAATTCGGACAACATTTCAAACGACTGTACTGCTCTGGCAGCTCGAGATGGTGGCGTTTCAGCTTACTGTTGTGCCTGAGTTCAAGCACGTGGCGTCACGCGTGGTTTGGATCTCTCAAAATCTGGTAAATCAACATAAGGTTTCTACGCCATCGACGCTATTGTCCGCTGAAGACCCCAAGCGCAAGCGTTGAATAATCACTCCCGTTTACAAGGGGGCAATCGTACTGTGCCAAACTAGACTACGCTTCTTCATGTGCTTGCCAAAGTTATGAAATCTTTCATTACAGGAACAAGCATGGGATATTTGGAAAGGTATAGTATCATCGTGCAGGAGCAGCATGGATTCCGCCATAACCACTCATGTACCACGAATCTCTTGGTAGCCTGTGCAAGCCGGACGGAATCCATCGATATAAGATAAAGAATCGACGCCGCCTACCTTAATTTCTCGATGGTCTTTAATCGTCTAGATCACCGCATTCTCTCCCAAAAGCTTCAGAGCTATGGCATCGGTGACAACATTATGGACTGGATACATTCATTCCTACTCCTACTCCGATCGAAAGTGCGAGTTCTTAGCGTCCTGTCCAACTCGACGGAGGTTCACTGTGGCGTCCGTTAAGGCCCGATACTAGGACCATAACTATTCCTGGTGTTCGTAAACTACCATGCGAGAGTGTGTACGTAAAATTTTCTATTTCTTGCGAACGATATCAAGATTCGGCGGGCAATGCAAGGTGATCTCGACCGGGCTTACACGTAGTCAACTCAAGACATGCTCGATCTTAACGCTGTTAAGTGGTAAACAACGAGGATACGCCACCAGAGCACCTCCGGGCTTCGACTAGGATAACACATTTTGCAGCCCATTTCCCATTCAAATGATTTTGTGGTACTCGTGCAGAACTATCTCAGATGCTCAAGAGAGCCCAAGAAAGCAGTGAAAATGCTAACCAACACTTAGGCCTACTGTGGAGGGAGTTTGGCTGGTTTGATTTTATCTAGTTTTCGCAAAAGCACAACGCTTACTTGAGACCACATGTAGAGTACGCCATCCAGATGGAGCACCAAGGTGGGGCAAAAACATGACGAAGCGAGACTAAAAATGTTAATGGCTTGCTGTGCCTCTCTTACCGGTTTAAAC